AATCTAGGCTGTAGATATGGGCATATCAATACACTATACATTAGTTTTTAAGCTGTCCTTTATTTAAAAACATGTTTTATTGTTGGTTTCTTGAAATCCTTGTAAGTCCACTCTATGTTTCTTTCTAGAATCATGGTGCCTTAAATCTTTTTTACTCTGTGACAAATTGATTATAAACCAAAATTATCAAAGTCTTGAATGTAAATGTTATAGTTTCGTAAATTCTTATATGGTCTTTCATCAGAATTTTGTGTGCATTCAACTTGTGCATTGAGATATTTGTATACTAAACAATTGGAATGACTTCTTCAAACCTGTGAGATCTGTACTTAATTGCTGGTAGAAACCAAACCCATTTCCATGATGGGAAAGAAGAATTCCATCCCATCACTTACCCAGCAAATCAAATATATGTGGTTCATTTACAAAACCATACCAGCTGTACTTAGAAGAATACATAGTCCATAGAATCATAGCTATGGGAAATGATGGATGAGGGCACCGAGATGTCCCCAGATTTTGCACACAGTTTCCCCAAGGGCCAGCCCTATTGCTGACCTGCTGCTGGCTTCCCACAGTTTGTCCCGCCAGGCTTCTGAAGTCCTTGCAATCCCATTGGCTTTGCCACCATCCACTGGTCTCACAGGCTCTGTCAGTTCTCAGGGTCCCATTGACTGCTGTCCTCACCTCCACAGGCTCTGCAGCCTGCCAGCACTACTGGCCTTGATGTCCAGGAGGCCCAGCTGTCACCCAGAGTCTCACCATCGGCCTGGAGCTCAGCAGTTGCCCTTATCTCTGACTCCAGCTTGGGTGGCAGCAAAGGGCTAGGGCTGCCAATTCTCCCAGGCTGTAGGAGCGGGGCACCATTGCTGTGAATGGTTGTCAACTGTCAAAGGGGCACAAAACAGGTGTAAAGGAGAGGGCATAATTCAGCACTCCCACACTAAAAATTGTTTCAGCTTCACTGCACAGAACTTAACATCCATTGGAATATCTGGGTTAATTTGTGCCTACTCCTGTTGGGGATTCAAAGGTAGAGGGAGAGAGAGTTCAGGGGCCAGATTTGTAAAGCTATTTAGTGCCTGAAAATGGAGAGCAATGGATCAGATTCTCAGCCTGAATATTGTAGCTCCCTTGAAGCCAATAGAACTGCAGCAATTTATACTGAGGACCTGGCCAAATGTTCCTATTCTAACTCTGATACTGCAAACATGTTAGTAGTCCTTGCTGAGTCTAATGAGACTATCACTTGTGTAAAACTACTCATATACATAATTGCTTGCAGAATCTAGGCCAGTGACATCATCTGAAAAGAAGACAAAACGGCCTTGTAGGCAATGTGACTGAAATCTGTTGCAATAGATATCACTTCATGAATGTGTTGATAGAACAGAATAAGACTGCAACAACAACATGGGTAAATTATTATATAAACAACCACAGGAACATCGGGGCAATTAGTTTAACAGTTTTTTATTTTTATTTTTCTGTGGGATGGAAAAGGAAATTTTGGGTTGGGTAACGTCAGCATTTGACCCACTTGCCTGTAAAATAGAGCTGAAAAGATCCCTCCACCTCTCAGGGTTTTTTTTGTTTTGTTTTGTTTTGTTTTTTGTTGGTGATATGAACTAAAACAAGAGCTGAGCTCAAAAATGCAATCTGTATCCCATCTGCTGTAAACAGAGGATCTGATTCTCTTCTCACGTGGCCTGCTGTAAATCAGGAGTAACTAGTTGAAGTCAGAGTAATTACAGCAAGGTAAAACATATTTTTGTGATCAGAATCTGGTCCTGGCTATACTTAGAAACTGGTAAATACAACTTAATTGTTGGAAGGAGGTATGCAAATAAGACCCCAGAAAATACTTTACCCTCTGTGTTTTGTTTTAAAGAATGTCTTATATTCACTAAGAATCTGTGTTCATCAGTGAGATGAGCTGGGGACATAATGTTTCATGCGTTATCTTATAGCTGACATGGTCATATAAATCTTGAGTGAAAATCAGAGCATAATTTGTAATAGAAAAGAGAGAGGGAAGAGCCAAATCTATATGTATTATTCTTTCCTTCTGGCAGAAATAAATACTCAGAAGAAATGACTTTGCCAAAAGGCCTCATTCAGATCTCCGTGACTTCATTTTGAGACTGGAGCTATCAAAAAAGTGAAGACGTGCATTAGGAGGAAGATCAGATTGAACAGGTATCTCTGTAAAGAGCTCTTCAAAGGACCCTCAGACCACAAAATGCAGTTGAGAGGGCTTCATATTTCTAGGTGTTTAAAAACAGCATTTCTTTGAGGCAATGAAGAAGGCAGGGAGGCTTTTTTTATTGTGAAAAAAAGAAATATTCATTAAAGTTAATCAGGTGATTAGAGGAAAAATACAGAGACTTTATGTGGTCAAATACAAATGATGGTAACAATGAGGAACACTTCCTTGTCCCTTGCTCATGTTAGTTAGAACTCTACCTGATAGAGTTCCCAAAGTGTGTTGAGTAGATAAGTGAGAAAAGAAGGCATGAAAGGGTAGAGATGAAAGAACTGGTTTGGAAGAAACTCTCTCCATAAAAAACCTGTAACACAACTATAGGACCTAGCTCAGATCAACCCTGTTGAGAGTTTTGATATGGTTGAATACTTTCTTTGAGGCCAGAAGAAAGGACTGCAGGAAGACTGAAATATTTCTGGATTCCTCTCAGCTGGAATAAAGTGGTCTACAAGCCCACCCCTGAAGACGCAAAAGGAGCCTATTAGACACACATGAAAAGATGGGGGTGGGGACTGTATACTGGGAAGCAGTGACTCTGAAAAAGATTTGGCAGTTTTGGAGGATAATCAGCAGAACGTGAGCTCCCAATGTGAGTCTGTGGCCAAAGGAACTCATGTGATCACTGGATGCATAAACAAGGGAGTAGAGAGGGGTTATTTTACTGCTGTATTTGGCACTAATTTGAGCACTGCTAGAATACTGTGTCCAGTTCTGGTGGACTCAGTTCAAGAAAGATGTTGCTAAATTGGAGGGAATTCAGAGAAGAGCCTCTAGAATGATGGAACATTTAAAAAACATGCCTTATACTGCTAGGAGCTCAAACTATTTATCTTAATTACCATATTGTCATTACAGTCACTAAGTATCAACACAAAGAACAAAGATTAAATTGTGGGCTCTTCAATCTAGCAGAGTATAATATGAGTCAATGCCTGTAAATTGAAGCTGGTGATTATTTTGAGGAGGTTCTATGGCTTATTTAACAGAGGGAGTCTTGTCTCTTCTTGTCTTGGAATATATGAAAAAGACAGAAGACAAAGAACCTACAGGTCACTGACTGAAGAGGCAATGGGGAGGGAAGATGTCCTTCCTCCTATAGGAGAGAGAGGGCCTGCCATGCTGCTGCTGTCCCCTGCTAGATTATTAATTATTATTTATATAGTGGTGGTTTCTAGAGATCCCAGTCAGGAGAGAAGCCCCATTTTGTTAGTTGCTGTATGAACACATTGCTTGAGATGGCTAGAACCTGTGCGGATACAAAATTTGTATCTGTATCCACATTGATAGCCACAAAAATAAACTGTGGATATCTGCCCAGATGCGGATACCTGCAGATATAAAATGGATATCCGCTAATTTGAAGGATTTCAAATACAAAGTCTGTATCTGTATCTGCATCTTCATCCGCACCCATATCCACAAAAATGAGCCACGGGTATCCACATCTACACCCATGGATTTGTGGGGCTCTAAATATGGTCCCTTCCAGCCAGAGATAAAAATCTATTATGCAACAAGTGAGGATAAAAAAAGAACAGGTGCTCACGAGAGAGTTCACAGTAATAAGATCACATAGTTACACAGGTGAGCTACATGCACAGTTTGATGGGTCTGAATCATTTAAAAGTTTTTTGTTTAATTAATAATTAAATAAAGTTTGCTAGCTCCAATTGCCCTCTAGTGTAACCATTACAAGTTGGTTAGTGTTTAATAGGAATCTAAGTGGTGGTAGAGAAAAAGGCCTCTCAGGTTGCCTACTGACAATGTCAGATGGAGAAAGAAGATCCAGCAGGCTGTGTCTGAAATTGTCAGAGGGAGTAGCAGGCTGCTATAGCTCACCACCAAAAAGGCAGAATCATCAAGGAGTAGCCATTGCCTCTTGGGAAAAGGAGTTTAGGCAAGGAAGGCTGCTGGGTCATCCAAGGCTGAGATTGTTCAAATGATTATCTGAGCTACACAAATTAAACCTGGACTCAGCTCTTTAGAAGTTTCCCCCCTCAGTCTCTGTGAAGCTTGTTCAATTTTCTGTTCCCAAAATCCTACTTTATATGGAAACTCTGTAAGGATGGTGATTGAAGGTTGTTGCTTCTGTAATGTAAATCCGGCCAACTGATATGGGGTAGGAGGAAAAGGGAGGCAAAGGGGACAACTGCCCCAGGGCCTGGTGATTCTTTATGTAAATGCATAATAAATATCTGGTGCTATATTCAAGCCTGTCACCACATGAAGGTGGACACTGTAGGGACCAGTGTCCATCAGGAGGATTCAATGTAGATGGCATTTCCACTGGAGGCTCAATGGAAGATCTGTTAGGGTATGTCTACACTACCCTCCTAGTTCAAACTAGGAGGGTAATGTAGGCATACCGCACTTGCAAATGAAGCCCGGGATTTGAATTTCCCGGGCTTCATTTGCATAAGCGGGGAGCCGCCATTTTTAAAACCCTGCTGGTTCGAACCCCATGCAGCGCGGCTACACGGGGCTCGAACTAGGTAGTTCGGACTAGGCTTCCTAGTCCGAACTATCGGTACACCTACGAGGAATAGGAAGCTTGGTCCGAACTACCATGCAGTGGGGATGGCAGGATACTATGAAACGGCATATCTCCTATCTGCCTGCACTAAGGGTATGTCTACACTACCCCGCTAGTTCGAACTAGCGGGGTAGTGTAGACATACCCTTAGTGCAGGCAGATAGGAGATATGCCGTTTCATAGTATCCTGCCATCCCCACTGCAGGGGCTTATGCCAGGACTATGCTGGTGGAAGCTGTCCAAGGCCTTAGAATAAATTCCCAAAGAAGGCTGTTGAGGCCCAAAGCATAAATTAGTACAAAATAGAGTTAGGTTTCTTTCTGGAGAAAAGGGGGATTAAGAGTTATACAATAGGGAAAAAACCCACCTACATAAGAAGATACAATTACAATAAACCAATTAAAGCCATATCTGTTTTTGGGCCGGTAGTCCTTGTCCTGTTCCTAAAAGATCTATGTTGCAGGCACAAGTTAGAATGTTGCAAAAAGGGCCACAATTTCTGGGTGCTTGCTTTTCGCACTGAAGTAAATAACATTTTATAAATTGTTTGAAAACACTGTGAACCAGTTTTATGTTAGTTATTCTTCAGTGATTTATCATTTAGGAGGTGTGCAACATGAGTGTTACATACATTTGAGGGAGGGTGCACTGGCTGGGGAGGGAAGGGAGAGAAATAGTAGTAACAGCAAAAGCTACTGAAGAGGATGTATGTTAAAGAGTGAGACTTGCTGCATAATACATCTTCCTATTATTTTCTATCTGCTATGCCTTTCATTGCCCCCCTTACTGCATGCTTTACACTTATATTGCACATCCATTGACTGACAAATCATTGCAAGGCTCTAATTTACCCCTTGACATTGACAAATGTTTTCTGGCCAGCTGACACCACCAATTATGCTATTTGGCCTACAGACTTCCCTGGAAGTTGGGCCTACTCCAGAGTGAAGGATAGCTAGATCCTCAGCTGGTGACACAGAATAGCTCCACAGAATTGGGACTGCACCCCTGAATTTGACCTTCAGATCTTCCTCCATTAATTTTGTTTTAAAAAGGGAAGAACTAATGCTTGAACTGGTTAATCATGTTTTTTTTATAATCTATAAAGTGTTTTACTACAAAAGACCAAAAATAGACACACTTAGAAATCAGTATATTTAATTTTGGAAGCACAACTTTCTGCTTGAGTAATTTTATTGCAAAGCTACATAAGGGATGGGATTGGCAACTTGTCATTATATGCAACACCTACTAAAATGCTTTGCAAATTGTCCTATAATAGGATTGTGTAACAGATGAATTCAGCTATTTGTAGGCATAGCAGCTTGGAAAAAGATCCGTTATCAAAGCACTCCACCTACTGGATGCACATTGAAATGCAACCACTAGAACCCTTAGGAGCTGTCCAGCAGTATTTAAAATATGAACTCCTGTTACGATGGTGCTCAGGGTAAATAAGCAGATGTAAAGGGAAACTGTAATTTAGATTTTTTAATCTCTTACTATAATTACTAAGAAGAAGTCACTTCGAAGCATTCATACATTCAATCAGTCTGCTGATTTTAGCCTAGAATGTTTCATTAAGATAAAGCATAGGATAGGGTGCCTACAGAAGTCCATACTGTAGTGGAAATCCTGGGAGAAATTATGGCCATCTCAGACATTATTTGTCACGTAGCATCAACTTGCTGTTTTTAGGGAGAGCCTAGTACCAGCTGTGGCATAAGTCTTGTGCAGTACCTTACTTCCCACTCTTGCTATGGCCTGCGCCTCCACAATTTTCAAATTGGGTGCAGGATTACCATACTCATGGCTAAGATTAAAAATATTTATCTCAGTATGTGGGTATAGAACTCCTGCACTTCCAAAATTACCATCTCATTTAATGTCTCTCTGAGCTGTTTTCTTTGTTCATAACACACGCTAGACATGTCATTATATCTGAGCACACTTCCAGTACATGTCACAGCACACCACTGATGCACCTCTCCATTGTAAATTATGGCATTGTTTGCTTTCTCACCATATCCTCTTTTCCTTACCTTCTTGTGCTTGTAGTAGTGAAGACAGCCATCATGTTTCAGCACAAACCATCTTTTCCTCCAGCCCTTCAATATCCCCGAGTGAGTTCGCTTATGCAAATATCCTCGACATGTTGGCCTGGGGGTGTTGGGACAGCGGCTGATGTCTGATCCAACCAAGAGAGTCAAGATATCAGGGCCTGAAATGTTTCATTAGAGATATTTGAGAGTGGACCAGACCTGGAAATAACAAGTAAGCTAAACTAAAATTGCATTCTTCTTCCTTGAACAAATATTAACCAAGGAATGAACAGAAAAATAAATCTGAACTCATTTTATACTGGAGACAGCACTGTATTTTCAGGATCCATTTTCCAAA